CAGGGAGCTTGAGTGCCTAACCCAAGACTTTGTGGAGCTCATCGCTGTTCCAGTGGTTTCCTAGCTGACTAAAAGTTAGGCGTTGCAATGCTCAGCATCACAATGCCTAAGGCCCTTTGGGGATCTGGAACACACCAACTAACTCCAAACATCTCTGTGCAGTAGGTAAGTCAATCTTAATGGAGGATAATGAGATACCAAGATTAAATGACTTGCCCAAGTTAGAGGCTATGCTAGAAATCCACAAGACCACATTGTCTCTCACTACATTAATAATAATAGCCCTCAGGAAGCAGGGAAGTGTCATTTTATTGCTTTTAAAAATTGAAAGTAGTCTTTCACCAACCTTTATGCATTATTTTTGAATTTTCTTAATCTGATCGTCATATGCAACTAAGTCACTGTGCAATTTTTGCCTTGTATATTTGCTTTTATATTTATTTGTGCTGCTGCCAACACAAGTGGTACCAAAACAAAATGGGGAATTAATTTTCTGGCATCTTTGATCTTTCTTACCAGCTTTCTCAAAACTAGAAATGCAGCATGAAACAGACTTTACATTAACTGCTTTAGGAGATGAAGACAGGTGATAAATTACTTGTTTAGGAGGCTATGAGTTTATTAATCAACATTACTGCAGGGTGTAATTTCTGAAGTTGTGTCAGGTATTAAATAATAAGTTAAGAGGACAATTTTGGGATTTCTATAAGCCTTAAATCTAAGCATGTTCTATAAAATGGAATTGACATCTGCTAGCCAGCTTGTCACCCAAACAATTCCTAATGCAAAACCCAGCATAAATTAAAATATTAAAACTTTCATAATTTCTTTTAATAGTAAACTGTGGACCTGATGCAACTGTATCTTACATAATTTCTTTTTTTTTTAAAAAATCATTATTTTAATAGTAATACAGTGACAGCAACTCCTTACTGCAGTCTAAAAATTATATTCGGAGGTGCTTTGCTGTTAAATGCAAATTCAATTTGCTGTCTCAGTTTCTTGTTTTTCTGACTTTCTGAGAGGTTATTGTTTACATGGTTCTGGGCTGCTGACCTATCTTTCCTAGGAATGCAACACCAGGCTCATTGGACTGTGCATAATAGGACACCCTGATAGATCAGAACTGCTGAGCTCCAGGGGAAGGAAAACTACTGCTGAATAAACAGTTTGCATGTGTGAACGTGCATTTTTCATGCATATACTTTCAAGCCAGCATGAATTAATTTGCTTCTGCGGCTAAGAGCCTTACTGTCAAAGATTCTTATTTTTGCTTTTTAGCACAATCTTTATAACACAAAAAATATGTAATGGTTGGGTTTGGGATTTCAGGACTGGCATGGGAGCTTGGATTTCTCTTAAGATTTCCTCTGTTCCTTATACTGCATACTAAAGCCTGGGTTACAAGTTAAAAATATTTACCATTTGGAGAAGATGCAAAAGCTGTATACAAAGCTAATACACACATATACACTAAGACTGGATGAATGATTTGGTTGGAAATCTGAACCAGCTATCTACTGAAATAAAGTCTGAATTTAGGATTAGTAGATAACCCTTGAGCAACAGAATGAGCTGCTTTGTGACCAGTCTAAAAGAACACTGGAATTTACCAAGTCTGTGGTCAGTAACAGAAGTTCTGTGTTCATCTATCCCTAACACACTGAGAGTCCCAGTCCTGCAATATTTGCGCTCAGATAACTCCTGCCAGAATCAGGTAAGAGTAGCATATACAAGAGGTCTGCAGCACTGGAGTATGTATGAATATTTCAAAAAGTTGAATTGGACTAATCGGAGATTTTTCTAATAACTTCCTTGCCTCTTGAAATGGGGGGGAGTTGTCCAAGTAGCCACAAATTGTTGATACCTACTGTGATAAATGAAGGAGGGGGGAGAACTACCTATTTTGGACACCCAGCCAACCAGTTAGCTACAAAATCCCTGTTAAGGATTTTGCTTTATCTGTAAAGGGTTAAAAAATCCCATAGGTAAAAGGGAGTGGGCACCTGACAGAAGAGCTAATGGGAAGGCTAGAACTTTTTAAAATTGGGAAAAAACTTTCCCTTTGTCTGTCTGTTGTTGTTCTCCAGAGAGAGGAGACACAGAGCAGCAATGCTGTAAGAAGCTTTAAACCAGGTATGAAAAATCATTAAATCATACCTAGGAATTACTTATCTGAACCCCAGATATATAAGTAGATCAGGGAATGTCTAGGAAGACGCAATTAGGTTTCTCTCTTTTATTTCTTTATGGCTTGTGGACTCCTCTGTGCTAACCCCCAAAGGCTTTTGTTTTGCTTATAGCCATTAAGCTGGACCTCAAGAAAACCATTCTTGATGCTTAATTATTATATTTGCTCTTTTTAAATCTAGCAATAGCTTAAATTCCAAATGTATTTTCTTTCTTGTTTGTTTGTTTTTAATAAAATTTACTTTTTTTAAGAACAGGATTGGGTTTTTGTGTCCTAAGAGGTTTGTGCATATGTTGTTTAATTACCTGGTGGCAACAGCTGATTTCCTTTGTTTTCTTTCTCAGCTCTTCCCCAGAGTGGGGGTGAAAGGGCTTGAGGGTACTCCAAAGGGAGGAATTCCCAAGTGCGACTTCCTGGGACTTCCGGATGTGGCCTGTGGGCCATAGTTTGCCCACCTCTGACATAGAGGAAATGAAACAAGAATACACTAGGACACCAAAACTGCCCATGAAGGGACACACAGATGTTGCACACATTTCCTCTTATGTTTCCTAGTTTGTCCAATACTTACTCCAAAGTCTTTTCCCGTGGCTATGTCACATCTGTTCCTCATGCATAAATTGGTAAGCCCTGATGGTCCAGCAGAGGCCGAACGTTACAGAGGAGGCACTCACATTATAATGGGAGGATTGCAGATGATTTTACAGCACCAGTGTAGTTAATGTGTGGACAAAACTTGACTTTAGCTCAAATGCAGTTGCTTGAAATTCCTTACTAGAAGCAGGGGCAACAATAACTTCTAAGGAAAGAGGATGGATTTTTTAAGTTAAAAGAATGGAAGGAGGAGAATATTTTAAATGGCTAATTGAAAAATGTTTTGGAAAGTATGTCATGAAAATGTTTTGCATTAGCTTATTTGTACAGTGAAGGAAAACATTCCACTCACATTCAGTAGGAAAATGAAAAACTGAAAGTCAGTATATTTACTTTGAGGTACTCTTAATGAACAGCAGCTTATTTGAGTCTTTATGCAACATATAATCCAGAGATGCAGGGCAGCATTAATCTCTTTAGACTGCTTTTCTAATACAGAGCTGTTGTAGCTGTGTTGGTCCAGGATATTAGAGAGACAAGGCGAGTGAGATAATATCTTTTATTGGACCAACTTACTCATCTCTGTCACCAATAGAATTTGGTTCAATAAAAGATATTACCTCACACACCTTGTCTCTGTAATACAGAAAAAGTTATGTAAATTGAATTGGCTCATTCAAATATTCAGTAAATGGGAAATGGTAGAATACTGCAAAGCATATAATGGTTTTATTCTCACTGGACGAAATTCAATTCCCACCTTCAACAAACACACTGGCTTCGTATGGGGAGTTACATAGAGGGCAGAGTGTGGAAAGTGGTACTTTGCTCACCATGTATACAGAGACCCTCCACAACCAAATCCTATGTGATATGTATATGTGGCCAATGGATCCACATAACTACAGACTCAATAGCCACGCTCTCATACTTCCTCTACATGCTGAGCTATGCTCCCTGGCTGCCCTCCGCTGGCACAGAAGAACTGCTCTGGTTTTCCTGTGCTGGAGCCTTTTCGTGGCCCCTCCATCCAAGGGTGACTTTCACCTAACATACACAGAAGTAACAGAGTCCAATCTTCCAATTAATTCAGGGTCTTATCATTCTAAATTACTACACTAACTGGATGATTATTCCCCAGTAGGTTTAGAGTCTAACAAGTTTCATGGGCTTTTCTTTGATATATATATCTTAGAATGTATAATTCTTCACAACACAAATATCAAAGAAAAGTCATCTCTCTGTTCAGATACTCTTTCACTAAAGCATAAGTCTAAAATAGGAACAATATGACTATGTGATAGAAAAAACACTCCGCTTTTTACTTTTAACTTCAAAATGGTTCTGTCAGGATAGCTGAGCCAAAATACCAAAGGAAAAAAAGTAATTAAAAGAGTGCCTCATACTTTATAATGACAAACCTACATGTTATGTTACTGCTTGCTCTGAAAGTCCTGCAGGAGACCACCTCTGCAGCTAGGTCTGTCCATTTCTTAAAAAACAAAGACAAGCAGAACTAGCTGAGGGTATCAAGGCATATTAACATTTTAATTCATGTTAGTACATTCTTTGAGGGCAATATTCGTTTGAAAGTATGCAGCGTCTGCACGTCAGGAACTTTGTGAAATGTACTTTGGCAAAAGTCACTGAAGACCAGAAGAACTCTAGTATCTTTAAAATTCCCTATAAGGAGATCAGGCAAGCCCAAGAAAACAGATTACTGGCAATTTCAAACCAGGATGTTTTTGTTACTGAAGTCTCTAATAAAAATGAATGGCCCTGTGAACATAAACAATCCTTTTAAAATTTCTTCTGTTCTAATTATAGTTGTAAATGTTTCTGTGATCTTATAAAAGGTGCTGTATTAAGGATTCACCATTCAAACTCAGATTATGGACAGGGCTGAGAAAACAAGTAGCCGAAGTTATCAGATAGCCTCTATTAAGAGGGTCTAAAAGGAGAGAGAGGAACAGAATATTGAATGTCTGGCTAGTGATTTAAAATCAAGGTGTTTGTTGCCAGTGAACTGAAAAAGCACCATAGAAAAGCACCTTCATGACTAACACAACTTTTTAGAAAGAGGAGATATTTATTGGAAGAGGATTTTGGAAATGAGAGAGAGTGCCTCAAGCCCCTCGGGCTAACAGGAAGGAAACTTTTCGAATTCTCTCGGCTCGTTATCCTTGTGTTATAATTGCAGCACTTTAATTCTCACCTTCTGGTGTCCAAACTCATTCAAGATGGTGCCAAGCTTTTTCGTATGGCTGCGTAGTTTATGAGGAGCAATTGCCGGATTGGGATCTCTCCAGTCAATGGACAGGCGATGGTTCCAGAGGTGTCGTCCCTCCTGAATATGAGCTGACTTGATACTAGGATCAAATCGATGCACCTCACAACCACTGTTGGCCAGGCTGATTTCAAACTGGTTATCATCACTGCTCAATCTACAGAAACAAACAAGATATTATTATTACTGCAAAAAGAAATTGTACCCAACCGTTGAATTATCCCAGACTTTCATGGATACTCAAGGGGAGAGGATACTCCTACATACTGGCTTTTGAAGCAGAGCAAAGGAACTGTTTTTCAGATTGTAAACTTGCTGTTGCAGCGCAATGGGGACCTGATTCTGACTAGGTCACTAAAAATAAACAGAATAAACAAATGGAATACTCTCTCTCCTGCTGAAGATTAGGAATCAACACCAATAACTTCACAGCAAAAGGAAATTAAAAAAAAAAAAACTACCTTCCTTAGTGCAATATGCTAAGTGATCTTTAGGGTATTTTTAGAGATTTGTTTTCTTTTAATTGCTATAACCCTATTTACACATCAAAAATATTTCAGGGGGATTGCATGAACTAAATTAATCAGAATAACTGAGTGTAAATCAGCATACTAGAGCTGATGAGCATGTAAGAGACTCAGTGATTGAGGAAGACATTTACCTCTGACAGTCTTTCAGTACTTTCAAATTGTACATTTCAGAGAAGCAGATGCACTATACCAGGTGCAGGCAATACTTGCACTGCCTTCAAAAGGATTTTTGCCTGTATAAGGACTGCAAGATGAGACCAAGAGAGTGGAAAACAGAAAAAGTATATGTGGAAGACAGGAAGTTGAAATGTCTTAGGCCATTTCGGACATCAACAACAAACACAAACTGAAAAAAATACGGTGAGATTCAAAAAACAGATCTGCTTATCCTCCTGCAACATTCAAACGTGGCTGTGTTGAGGGTGAGGGTAAGTGATAATGCAGTAGGGGAAACAAAGTATACAAAAGATGCTTCAGAAGACAGATCTTCTGTATAAGTAGCTTGAGTTAGAAAAAGAAAGGAGACCCTTTCATCCAACCGTGGATAGAAAACAGTTTCTGTCTCTAGTGTCAGTACAATGAAACATGCTATTGTCATTGAACTGTCTTATTTTACACTAAGTAAAGGTGAAGACACAATACTGCTGTAATCAATAGTTACACTGAAACTTCATGTACAGTGCACAGGCAGTGGAAGAGGCGGGTTTCAAAGTGGGGAGAAATCACACCCTGGGAATAACCTTTTGTTCAAGGGGCCTCTACAGCTTGTGTAAAAGTGGAATAAAGGCTCAACACTGGCCCTGCTCCCAGCCCTCTCTGGAGGGGACAGACCAGGGATGTACTGGAGCACATTGGGCATAGCGAGAGTGCAGTGCAGTATAGCTAGTCTCTACTTCTTGGGGTTCATAGAGGGCCATGAGAAACAGAACAGAAATTAGAGCAGATGGGTTGTTTCTGACGTGCACTGGGAGCCAGGCAGGCCCCTGCACAACCCCAGAATACACCTTTGCCACACACCCCATTTCCAAGTGCGCATTCCTGGCCTGCTCATGTATTACAGGTCTAGAGGGGACAAAGACAGAGAGGAGCAGCTGTGAAAAACTTGCAGTTTTAAGGTCCTATCTTCCCCTTCTGTGGGATTTTCCATAGAAGGAGATAACCTAGGCCTACAGATGGGGGGTGGGCAGGAGGGCAATTTCCAGGCCTGGCTTGTGTCTGAGACACATTTTGCATTGATTTTTAGGTAGTTTTTACATTATCTAACTCTTATACTGTGTACGGTTTAACACAGTGTTTCAAAGAGACACTTAAAACCTCAACTGGTAAGTTTTTGAAATCCCATATTATCCCAGTTTGAATGTCTACATATTGTGTTTGTAACAGAGTTAGTTTAATATAAACAGATTTAGCACTGATAATGCTACAGCTCACTAATACATATTACAATTCCATATCATTCTGGGAAATCCTGTCCCCAAAGCAAAAAAAGGCAGCATGCATGCTAGTACTCGAAATAGTTAAAATTAATATCAAAGGGCCTCCAGAGGTTTTAGGCAGGGCTCACTCACACTGACATATAATATTTCTTCCCTTTTGGCATAGCCCCCACATATGCAGAATATTTTCTTCAATTATTAAAGATTACAGATTTAATGCAGGGTTGTCCCTTTTACACTCAAATTGAACTTCTGCATTTGTGTGACATTCTCCCCCACTGTGGAAGATGCTGTTAATTTGAAGCAGCTGTTTTTCATTTACTCTTTATAAAATGAATTAGAGGAGTGGAACATTTAAAGAAGATTTTTGTCTTACTCAGAACAAAATTACTTTTCTGCCAGTCATAAACCAAAGAACCAAAGAACAGAAGAATTAAGTGGCAATGAGTCTGAAAGACTATAAATAGAGTCTGAGGGAATTAAAGCCTGCTTTTTTGTAACACAAAGTACTTTCTTTTTTTAAAAAAACTGCTTTATGGGATGTATTTTGCTTGGGTGTATGATTATATATATATATATATATATATATATACACACACACACACACATACACATACACATGCGCATCTTATGAGACTAGCCTAGCAAAAAATCTTCATGGTGAAGTTAAAAAACTTGTGAAAAACTCAGACATACCTAAACTTTTTTTTGGTATTAAAATTACATGTTTGTTTGAAATATGCTGTGTAAATACTTCAGAAAAGAAGAAGAAAACAGTAGGGAGGAGGAGCTCTCTCTGGGTGAAAACTCAGAACTCACCTGTAATTTTCCCCAATGAGAAAACTTTCTCACCCAACTGTTTTTGGTCATAGACTCTTACTTCCTCAGATCCAAAGCCTACTGAAGTCAATAGAAAGACTCCCTTTGACTTTGATAGCCCTTTTACTCTCGGCCCTGTCATAATCACTGATACACAAACACATTTCTCAGTTATTCCAATCTTGAAGGGAATGGATTAATTTCTTTTTGCTCATTATTAAATCCACACTATCAAAATCATAGAAATAAATTGTGCAGGCTCAGGGCAATGGGAGATGGATTCTCTCACTACGTCACTGTTTTGAAACTGGTCTAAGACAGTGTAAACAAAGTTTAATTAAATGACAGTTTGGTGAACTACGTGACATTTTGTGAACACTAAACTGACTAAAACATTTTACAAGAAGGCCACAATGTTTTTATTATTTATCACCTCAGCACAAGTGCTCTGTCACTCCTGACCACACAGCGTGCTTTCTCACCCTGGAAAATCTGATTCTTGGCTGGGGAGTGGAGAAAGATGTTTTACAAATAATTCCTTTGAAGTAACTGGTAATTATACAAGAATTTCCTGCTTAGAGAAGGAAGCGTTTGCTTCTCAGTTGACCTCATTAACTTCCATCTTCCTTTAATGGAACCATCACTCTTAAATTATTAATTCTTTACTTTCCATCATGTGCATCATTGTCATGTTGAATATGAGAAAGAAAAGGGAAGGACCTCACAGAAAGAAAGGGTTTTTCTTAAATCACATTCCACAACAGGGACCAACACTTGTCAACAAGTACTAAAGGCAACTGAATAAAACCCAAATTTTTGTTAGATAATACTGTTACACTTTGCTTTAAGAAAGGGCCTTTTCATGCTAAAATGCATTCATGCTAAAATGCTTTTCTGTTCCTCCAAAAGGAGTACTTACCCAAGTGAATAGAGACGGCATTGCTTGCTTTTGATTCGATGAACTAAACTGAACCTGTCATCAAGACAGACTGACCACGGCTTCTTTATGGTTTCAGAGTTATCTGTCAGGCTGTTCATATTCATATGTTCACATGAAATCTGTTGAAATCAGAAGAGGTTTTGTTTTAATGTGCAGAACACCAATCTTTTAAATTTACTCTTGGTTTACTTTGTGGGGGAAAGGTGGTGGGTAGGAAAATTAAAAATTGTTTAATTATAATCTGAGTTACAATCAGGTCCATGGCTATAAAGACTGGTTGTTTTTATCTTGTTTGTTTCTTTTGTTGGGTGAAGACTGCCATGGATCAGAAAAATCCCTCCTAAGACCAATACAAATATTAAAGGCAAATAACTGAGCTTCAGTATTATATACTGAATCGATTTCCCTAAAAACAATTCACTTGAGCATAAAAGTCAATTTATTTTTCCTTTCAAACATTGGACTGAATTCTGCATTTTGTATCATTTTGGAAAAAATCTCGTAACACTTGATTATCTAGACCAGAGGTTCTCAACCTTTTTCTTTCTGAGGCCCCCCAACATGCTATAAAAGCTCCATGGCCCACCTGTGCCACAACAACTGGTTTTCTGCATATAAAAGCCAGGGTCGGCATTTGGAGGTAACACGCTTGGCAATTGCCTGGAGCCCCATGCCACATGGGCCCCTGCAAAGCTACATTGCTCAGGCTTCAGCTTCAGCCCTGGGTGGTGGGGCTCAGAGCCCTGGGCTTCAGCCCCATGCAGTGGGGCTTCAGCTTTCTACCCTGGCCCCAGCAAGTCTAATGCTGGCCCTGTTTGGAGGCCCCCCTGAAATCTGCTTAGGGCCCCACAGTGGGCCCCTGACCCCTGGCTGAGAACCACTGATCTACTGGCCTGTGATTCACTGTTATTATTTATATAGTGCCATAGGTTTGCTACGCAATTTACAGGCAAACAAAAAGTTGATGTCTTCTGTTTTGTCCAGGTAGAGCCTCAGACAGCTAGCTCTCATCCAATTTCCAATCTCAACCAACACTAGGAAAGCACAGACATTGACCTCTCTGGAACTGATGAGACAGAACAACTAAATAACAGAGCTAGAATGGAAGTCACAATTCAGGCTGAGCTCTAGCAATCACTATCCATATCCTCTGTTTACAAATAAACAAAACACTCACTTTTAATGAGGCTTAATCTTTAAAATAAGAGGATCTGAGCATCATCATTGCCAGGAGGCACTGGAGATGGATTGGTGATGTGCTTTGGATGGAAACTGATTCCATCACAAGAGTAGCAATAAGATGGACACCTAAAGGCAAGCGAAAATGAGGCCACCCGAAAACATGGCGAAGAGCTGTGGAAGCTGAGCTGAAAAACCTGGGGCACATCTGGGAAGCTACTGAAAGACTTGCCAGAAACAGACAGGAGCGGAGGAGCTTCGTCATTGCCCTAAACGCCAGAGGCGTAATAGGAACATGATGATGATGATGATGAATCTTTAAAATACCATTATCTTGAAAATTACCATTTGGAGGGCTGCATGCTGCATTTTTCCCCTCTTTAGCTCATAATACCTATGGTAAATTAATGAAAACTTAAACAGTTTTTCTTCATGCTGTCCCCAAGATTCACTAAGCCGTTAAGCACGAATGTAGGCTTCTCTTCTCTCCCCGGCCCCATTCAGCCCTGGTCTACACTAGGAGTTGAGGTCGAATTTAGCAGCGTTAAATCAATTTAACTCTGCACCCGTCCACACGACGAAGCTCTTTCTTTCGACAAAAAGGGCTTTTAAAATCGATTTCCTTATTCCACCCCCGACAAGGGGATTAGCGCTGAAATCGGCCTTGCTGGGTCGAATTTGGGATACTGTGGACACAATTAGATGGTATTGGCCTCCGGGAGCTATCCCAGAGTGCTCCATTGTGACCGCTCTGGACAGCACTCTCAACTCAGATGCACTGGCCAGGTAGACAGGAAAAGGCCCGCGAACTTTTGAATTTAAACTTCCTGTTTGGCCAGCATGGCAAGCTGCAGGTGACCATACAGAGCTCTTCAGCAGAGGTGACCATGCAGAATTCATCAGCAGAGGTGACCATGATGGAGTCCCAGAATTGCAAAAGAGCTCCAGCCTGGACCGAACGGGAGGTACGGGATCTGATCGCTGTATGGGGAGAGGAATCCGTGTTATCAGAACTCCGTTCCAGTTTTCGAAATGCCAAAACCTTTGTCAAAATCTCCCAGGGCATGAAGGACAGAGGCCATAACAGGGACCCGAAGCAGTGCCGCGTGAAACTTAAGGAGCTGAGGCAAGCCTACCAGAAAACAAGAGAGGCGAACAGCTGCTCCGGGTCAGAGCGCAAAACATGTCGCTTCTATGATGAGCTGCATGCCATTTTAGGGGGTTCAGCCACCACTATCCCAGCCATGTTTTTTGACTCCTTCAATGGACATGGAAGCAACATGGAAGCAGGTTTTGGGGATGAGGAAGATGATGAGGAGGAGGAGGTTGTAGATAGCTCACAGCAAGCAAGCGGAGAAACCGGTTTTCCCAACAGCCAGGAACTGTTTCTCACCCTGGACCTGGAGCCAGTACCCCCCAAACCCACCCAAGGCTGCCTCCCGGACCTGCCAGGCGGAGAAGGGACCTCTGGTGAGTGTACCTTTTAAAATACTACACATGGTTTAAAAGCAAGCATGTTTAATGATTAATTTGCCCTGGCATTCGCGGCTCTCCTGGATGTACTCCCAAAGCCTTTGCAAAAGGTTTCTGGGGAGGGCAGACTTACTCCATCCACCATGGTAGAACACTTTACCACTCCAGGCCAGAAGCATGTAGTCGGGAATCATTGTAGAACAAAGCATTGCAGTGTATGTTTGCTGGCATTCAAACAACACCCGTTCTTTATCTCTCTGTGTTATCCTCAGGAGAGTGATATCATTCATGGTCACCTGGTTGAAATAGGGTGCTTTTCTTAAGGGGACATTCAGAGGTGCCTGTTCCTGCTGGGCTGTTTGCCTGTGGCTGAACAGAAATGTTCCCCGCTGTTAGTCACAAGGAGGGGGAAGCGGGGAGGTGCTAGCCACACGCTGCGGGGAGGCAAAATGCAACCTTGGAACGAAAGCTCATGTGCTATGTATGTAATGTTAACAGCAAGGTTTACTGTGAAAGAGTGTACCCATTGTTCTATAAAATCTGTCTTTTTAAATACCACTGTCCCTTTTTTTTTCTCCACCAGCTGCATGTGTTTCAAGGATCACAGGATCTTCTCCTTCCCAGAGGCTAGCGAAAATCAGAAGGCGAAAAAAACGCACTCACGATGAAATGTTCTCTGAGCTCATGCTGTCCTCCCACACTGACAGAGCACAGATGAATGCATGGAGGCAGACAATGTCAGAGTGCAGGAAAGCACAAAATGACTGGGAGGAGAGGTGGCGGGCTGAAGAGAGTAAGTGGTGGGTTGAAGAGAGGGCTGAAGCTCAAAGGTGGCGGTAGTGTGATGAGAGGAGGCAGGACTCAATGCTGAGGCTGCTGGAAGATCAAACTAATATGCTCCAGCGTATGGTTGAGCTGCAGGAAAGGCAGCAGGAGCACAGACCACCACTACAACCCCTGTGTAACCAACCGCCCTCCTCCCCAAGTTCCATAGCCTCCACACCCAGACGCCCAAGAACGCGGTGGGGGGGCCTCCGGACACCCAGCCACTCCACCCCAGAGGATTGCCCAAGCAACAGAAGGCTGGCATTCAATAAGTTTTAAAGTTTTAAACTTTTAAAGTGCTGTGTGGCCTTGTCCTTCCCTCCTCCACCACCACTCCTGGTGCTTCTCTCCTCCACCACCCCTCCTGGGCTACCTTGGTAGTTATCCCCCTATTTGTGTGATGATTTAATAAAGAATGCATGAATGTGAAACAACAATGACTTTATTGCCTCTGCAAGTGGTGCTCGACAGGAGGAGAGGAGGGTGGTTAGCTTACAGGGAAGTAGAGTGAACCTAGGGGCGGGGGGTTTCATCAAGGAGAAACAAACAGAACTTTCACACCGTAGCCTGGCCAGTCATGAAACTGGTTTTCAAAGCTTCTCTGATGCGCACCGCACCCTTCTGTGCTCTTCTAACTGCCCTGATGTCTGGCTGTGTGTAACCAGCAGCCAGGTGATTTGCCTCAACCTCCCACCCCGCCATAAACGTCTGCCCCTTACTCTCTCAGATATAGTGGAGTGCACAGCAAGCAGTAATAACAGTGGAAATATTTGTTTCGCTGAGGTCTAAGCGACTCAGTAAACTGCGCCAGTGTGCTTTTAAACGTCCAAATGCACATTCTACCACCATTCTGCCCTTGCTCAGCCTGTAGTTGAACAGCTCCTGACTATTATCCAGGCTGCCTGTGTATGGCTTCATGAGCCATGGCATTAAGGGGTAGGCTGGGTCCCCAAGGATAACTATTCAACATCCCCAATGGTTATTTTCTGGTCTGGGAATAAAGTCCCTTCTTGCAGCTTTTGAAATGGACCAGAGTTCCTGAAGATGCAAGCGTCATGTACCTTTCCCGGCCATCCCACGTTGATGTTGGTGAAACGTCCCTTGTGATCCACCAGTGCTTGCAGCACTATTGAAAAGTACCCCTTGCGGTTTATGTACTCGCCGGCTTGGTGCTCCGGTGCCAAGATAGGGATATGGGTTCCGTCTATGGCCCCACCACAGTTAGGGAATCCCATTACAGTAAAGCCATCCACTATGACCTGCACATTTCCCAGGTCACTACCCTTGATATCAGCAGATCTTTGATTGTGTTAGCTACTTGCATCACAGCAGCCCCCACAGTAGATTTGCCCACTCCAAATTGATTCCCGACTGACCAGTAGCTGTCTGGCGTTGCAAGCTTCCACAGGGCTATTGCCACTCGCTTCTCAGCTGTGAGAGCTGCTCTCATCTTGGTATTATTGTGCCTCAGAGCAGGGGAAAGCAAGTCACAAAGTTCCATGAAAGTGCCCTTACGTATGCGGAAGTTTCGCAGCCACTGGGAATCGTCCCAGACCTGCAACACTATGCAGTCCCACCAGTCTGTGCTTGTTTCCCGAGTCCAGAATCGGCGTTCCACCGCATGAACCTGCCCCATTAGCACCTTGATGCCCACATTGCCAGGACCCATGCTTTGAGAAAATTCTGTGTCCATGTCCTTATCACTCTTGTCACCGCGCTGACATCGCCTACTCGCCTGGTTTCGCTTTGCCAGGTTCTGGTGCTGCATACACTGCTGGATAATGCGTGTGGTATTTAATGTACTCCTAATTGCCAAAGTGATCTGAGCGGGCGCCATGCTTGTCATGGCATGGCGTCTGCACAGAAAAAAAGGTGCGGAACGATTCTCTGCCGTTGCCCTGACGGATGGAGAGGCGACTGACGACATGGCTTACAGGGTTGGCTTACAGGGAATTAAAATCAAGAAAGGGGGTGGCTTTGCGAGAAACTGAATGGTCCCCTCAAGGATAGAACTCAAAACTGGGTTTAGCAGGCCACTGATTTCACAGAGGGAGGGAGGAGAAAATGAATACAAAAAAAATCTGGTCTATTTCTTGGTTTGAGCCACTTCATCTATCTTTATACATCTTGCTGGCAGCAGACTGTGCAGTACGACTGCTAGCCATCGTCATCTCCTGGGTGCTCGGCAGAAGATGGTGCAGTATGACTACTGGCCATCGACTTCTGCTGGCTGCTGATTAAAAGACAGTGCACTGCCGGTAGGACTCAATCGCCATGAGACAAAACTTAAAAGGGAAATGACCTGGCTGACTCACTCCCATGTTTGCCTAGGTGCCCCGATCTCATCGAGGTCGGTTAAAAGAGCACCCAGGACTACGTTGATGATGGCTACAAGTCATACTGCACTGTCTGATGCCAAAAGGCAATAAACTGCTGCTGTGTAGCAATGCAGTACCGTGTCTGCCAGCACCCAGGAGACATACAGTGACGGTTAGCTGAGGGGGCTCCATGCTTGCCATGGTATGGCGTCTGCACAGGTAACTCAAGAAAAAAGGTCCAAAATGTTTGTCTGCCCTTGCTTTCATGGAAGGAGGGAGGGAAGGGGGGCCTGACGATATGTACCCAGAACCCCTGCGACAATGTTTTAGCCCCATCAGGCACTGGGATTTCTACCCAGAATTCAAATGGGTGGCGGAGACTGCGGGAACTGTGGGATAGCTACCCACAATGCAACACTCCGGAAGTCGACGGTTGCCTCGGTACTGTGGACACACTCCGCTGACTACATGCAGTTAGAGCATTTGTGTGGGGACACACACAATCAACTGTATAAAAACGCTTTCTACAAAACCGACTTCTATAAATTCGACCTAATTTCATAGTGTAGACATACCCTCAGTCATATAAAAATCAGCAAATAAATGGCATTGCAATAACAAGCACATAATATATCGGTGCTCATTTTAAAATACAAAAAAAATCTGTATTCCACAGGAAATCGATTTGCAGCAAAATAAATAAACTTCAGAATGCTCTGAGTTAATTGACTCATGATACTCAAGCAATTACAATGCTCAGAATTTGGAAAGCTTTTAACAGCTCTTGGCAGCATGGGCAAGAGGAGAGGACACCAGACAGGGAGCCAGGAGCCCTGGGTTGCATTCCCAGTTCAGCTATTGGCCTGTTGTATAACCTTGAGCAACACATTTCACCTCTCTGGGCCTGTTTCCCCTCTCCTCCACCACCCTTGTTTGTATTATCTAATTAGATTGTAAGCTCTTCAGGTAGGGACTGTCTCTTACTATGTGTTTATACAGAGCCTAGCACAAGGAGCTCCAATCTTGGTTGAGGCCCCTAGGTATTACTTTAATACAAATAATAATGAATGAAACATATTAAGGTTTTCATGATAATCTAATCTTAGTATTTAAAGTGCCTTCCCAGGTCCACACCTTGCTCAGGCAAGGGATTATGATATCTTCTTGATTTGGCGGCACTGGTCTTTCATTTCATTGAAACTTGCTCAGTCCACAAGAAAAACAAGACCTGATGCCCAATTCTGTAAATATCTTTCATTTCTTGTGGCATTTACTCCTTTTATGGGGCTATCATGGTCAGTTATTAATTCAGTAGCATCTGTTAGATCAGCAATGAGGGTTTCTTTCATTTCTTGATTTCACTTACGCCTGCCCCAGAGGTCAGTCATCATTCTGGGAACTGAACCTCTTGATTGCTATGTCAAAAACTATAAACTCTTCACTAATTGATGCTCTTGTAGGTTTTGACCCAACTAGCAGAGTCTGCCACAATGTATTAAGTCACTGTCAAACTGGACAGTCTCTATGTAAAAGAATAAATGGACACAAATCAGATGTCAAGAATTATAACATTCATAAACCAGTCGGAGAACACTTCAATCTCTCTGGTCACGCAATCACAGACATGAAGGTCGCTATCTTAAAACAAAAAAACTTCAAATCCAGACTCCAGCGAGAAACTGCTGAATTGGAATTCATTTGCAAATTGGATACTATTAATTTAGGCTTAAATAGAGACTGGGAGTGGCTAAGTCATTATGCAAGGTAGCCTGTTTCCTCTTGTTTTTTCCTACCCCCCCCCCAGATGTTCTGGTTTAACTTGGATTTAAACTTGGAGAGTGGTCAGTTTAGATGAGCTATTACCAGCAGGAGAGTGAGTTTGTGTGTGTATGGGGGTGGGGGGGGATGTGAGAAAACCTGGATTTATGCAGGAAATAGCCCGACTTGATTATGTAAAGAGTTGTCACTTTGGATGGGCTAGCACCAGCAGGAGAGTGAATTTGTGTGGGGGGGTGGAGGGTGAGAAAACCTGGATTTGTGCTGGAAATGGCCCACCTGATGATCACTTTAGATAAGCTATTACCAGCAGGACAGTGGGGTGGGAGGAGGTATTGTTTCATATTCTCTGTGTATATATAAAGTCTGCTGCAGTTTCCACGGTATGCATCTGATGAAGTGAGCTGTAGCTCACGAAAGCTCATGCTCAAATAAATTGGTTAGTCTCTAAGGTGCCACAAGTACTCCTTTTCTTTTTGCGAATACAGACTAACACGGCTGTTACTCTGAAACCTGAATAAGGACTGTTTTCTGTGCTCTAAGCCTGCTTCAGGCTAAGCATCTCTACTTGACAAAAAAGAAGTGTAATTAATTTGGTTCCATTTAGATCTTACTGTCTTCATTTGAATCATCTTCATTCCTGCTTTCTCAGTATACTTCATTCTAGTGAGTGTTTGGGGCACAGACATCATTGTAAAAATGATTCAGGTACTTCTAATCATACAGCTAGGGCACCCATAGGTCTGCAGATAAGCAGGGATTGTGTTACCCTCACAATTACCAACAGACAGGGACAATGGTATATTTCTAGGTATCATTCTCAGAAACACTGTATAGAGAAAGAATTTCTTATGGGAGTGACACAAACACCAATCTTATAAAGTTCTTTGTTATTCCTAGTTGCAAGACACAGAATAGACAAGTTGCAAGTCAGATGTTCAGGGATTACTTGTTGGTAGATAAGGATAATAAAATACCCACCCTGTTCTAAACTATGGGCATCTAGCGGCCCTTCCCATTCTTTCTTGGGTGAAATACACATATAAATGTCATTGTAAAAAGTTACATCTTTAGCAAGACATCCAGGCCTGATTTTCAGATGTGCTGAGCACCTGCAGCTACCTTTGACTGCAACTGGAGTTCTAAGTGTTCAGCATCTCAGAAATTAACCTCTCTCCCCCTACTCCCGCCATTTTTTTGGGGTGAATAGAAAAATATTTTGCTACAGAGAGATTGGATCGCTATTGACATTACTGGGGAAACCTGTTTAATATATAGGGGGACCTGCCACTTCTCCTAAACTGGTTGAGTACCTAGAATGCATATTTTTCAAGAAAATGTGCCTGGCTACCAAATGATTATTTAAAGGTCCTCCAGTGCCTGCCACAAAACTTTTGGACCCCCTCAGCCCTTGTGTGTCTATTTCTGAAATTTCAGATTTACTGTACTCGAGAAGAGGCACAGGTAGCAATGATGGATTTTATTAATAAATGTTCAAAGGAAAGGAGTCTCTTTCTAGCCTCTCTTTTAACCATCATATTTAAGTTGATCATCATTGTTAAGTTGCACAGCTTCAGAAACAATATATATAATCTAAACAAGATGCAACCTTCAGCTCCATGGGGAGTGGAAATCATTGTAACTCTTGTTGAAGAATCTTTCTGGGGGGAATAATTGATTGTGTTTTGCAAATTATTTTCAAACTGGATATCGAAATGGAAACCAACCTGAGGTGTGGTGATATACTTCAGGAACCTCAAGGCCTCATAATTCAGGGAAGGAGTTGGACTTGCCCAAGGCTGCAGGTCTACGTTCCATCGTATAGTCTGTAAATACAGAAAAAACACTTAAAGGAATGACATCTCTCAGTAAAAGCATAAAATGCAGTGGCACAATATATTAAATGAGATATAAGTTTAAATATAAAAAAGTTTTCTAAAATTTTTTACTGACATGTAGAAAATCAGAATGTGAATGGCTAAAATCCTACAATAGTTCACTATAAAATTTAATGCAGTTGAACATACCATTCCACTTCAGTTTCTGGTAATATATGGGGATCTTACACTGCAAACAGTGATTATAAGCAATAAACCTAGACAATCAGTAGATTTTCTTTTTTTAAAGTCTAGTTTTATAATTCAATATGGTAGTCTGCATTTTTAAAAGAAAAGGTCCTTTATTCTTTCATGTTCGCCTAAAAAGAGTTATCAGAATTCTTTATTTTCCTGAAAAATGGCAGCATTGTTACCCATAGTATTATAACTCTTCATTTTCATCTCCACAGGGAACTAGTTTCAGTGGATGCTTTGCATACTCTGTGAGGGGCCCATCAGCTCAAAACCTTGGAGATCCTGTCAGCTTTTCAAACAACACTTCCCACAGAAAGTAGGACAGGAAAGGTCTTTCAGAAATGTGTTTGCATACCAACAGGGTGTTGCACTCCCAACAGCAATACCTTCCCTAAATGCAGCATGCTTTTGTCATTTTAGAAATTGTTCTTTCCCTCAAACACACACACAAAAGTATATGGAGAAATCTTACATTAAAATTAAGACAAATTCCCTATGACTGAGCCCCACCAAAAAGATTATTCTTTGCATTGTGACAGTCCATTAGTCTTATAATAAGTTAGGTGGGGTCTAGCTTCACTTGGTCATTTGTGATTAACTGAAAATTCCAGGAAGACAACCATGGTTTTTTCATAACACTGTTTTGCATCAAGTAAACAAACAAAACAAAAACAAAAGCAAAACGGTCTGTGATCCCAGCAGGGTCTCATTTCAATAAGAAAGTCTCAAAACAATAAAGTTAAAGGAAGTAAAACTAATTGGACTAGACTGAACACTGTCAGAGCTGAAATCATAGGAGGAAGAAAGAGCCTTCCATTAAGCTGACTGACACAGCAATATTGACAGGCTATAGAGGAAGTTGCAGCCCTCTCTCCTCAGGTACAGGAACCATTGTAGTGATATGGGGGACATAGCAGATGGGCAAGAACTAGGGTTGCCTACGCTCCTGGTTTCGCTGGAAGTGTCCTGGAATCAGGCCCTATCTCCCAGAGACTACTGAAGACAACCCAGGAGATTTTAGGCCACTAGAAGTCTGGTGGCACAGTGGGGCTAAGGCAGGCTCCCTGCCTACCCTGGCCCCACGCTGCTTCCAGAAGCAGCCAGCACATCTCTATGGCTGCTGGGGGCGGGGGTCTCAGCACGCTGCCCCTGTCCCCAGCACCAACTCCGCAGCTCCCATTGGCTGGGAATTGTGGCCAATGGGAGCTGTGGGGCCGGCACCTGCACCTCCCCAGGGGCCACAGGGATGTGCTGGCCACTTCCGGAATAGCGCACCAAGGGGGCAGCGCATGGAGCCCCCTGGTCCCACTTACCTCAGATGGCAGTGCAGCGGGGCTCAGGCAGGCTCTGCCCCCACAGCTCCTACTGGCCACAGTTCCTGGCCAATGGGAGCTGCAGCATCAGGGCATGGACAGCGCGCAGAGACCCCTGCCCACCCCCTTTGGGCCACAGCAACGTGTCAGCCCCTTCTGGGAGCGACACAAGACCAGGGCAAGCAGGGAGCCTGCCTTATCCCCGCTGCACTGCTGAACAAGAGCCACCTAAGGTAAGCGCCTCCTGGCCAAAGCCCACACCCCTCACCCTTACTGCACCCCTACTCCAGCTCTGAGTCCCCTCCCACACCCAAACTCTCTCCCAGAACCTGCACCCCGCACCCCAATCCCCTGCCCCAGCCCTGAGCCCCCTCCCGGAGCCTGCACTGCACACCCCCTCCTGCACCCAAACTCCCAGAGTCCATACCCCTAAATCCCTCCAGCACCCCAAGCCCCAGACCTGAGCCCCCTCCTGCACCCAAACTCCCTCCCAGAACCCACACCCTGAGCTCCCTCCAGCACCCCAAGCCCCTGCCCTAGGCTCAGCCCAGAGCCCCCTCTCACCCTCTGAACCCCTCGGCCCCAGCCCAGAGCCCGCACCTCCTCCCACACCCCAACCCCAACCCCCTGTCACAGCCCGGTGAAAGTGAGTAAAGGGGGGTAGTGGGGATGGAGTGAGCAGGGTGTGGCCGAAGGGAAGGAGTGGGGCCTCAGGGCAGGGCAAGGGTGTTTGGGTTTGTGAGATTAGACAGTTGGCAACCCTAGCAAGAATAGAACGAAAGAAAGATGAAGCTCAAACACAAAGATTATTAGACGGGAACTCCAGACCAGATGGAATTTTTGCCTTGAACTCCTATCGCAAGTTCATATTTTTGCTTTCTAAGTAAACACAGTCTGTGAGTGAATATGAGCCAAGTAATCTGTAGGAGAGTTTTGGTCTTGGTTTTTCATTTTTTTTTTTGTTTGTAACAGTGAAGAGATGCTGAACATTTTAGAAACTTTTGCAGCAACAGCCAAACAGTAACCTTACATTTCCCCCCCTCTATGTTTTTTTGGCTTTCTTTCACTTTTTGCTATTAAACAAGAATTCGTGTCCCACACTGCATGTCACAGAAGCCAGAATATCAAGAAACCCACTTGTGGCACAGACCATTGATACTCTGATTTCAAAGTGTGATGTTGAAACTGCTGATGTCAGAAAGTTAAGTGGACACTTTGGGAGGGAAAAGTGTGGAATCTTTCAAAATGATTCAAACATTTCATGTGGCTACACAACATTTGTGATGACAGGAAAGCTGTAGATCTGACATGTTTGAAAGCTGAAATGAGAATGAAGTCTGGCAATAGTTTTCAGGCAAAACCAGGGGCACCCAAACAGCTGAGTCAGCTATTCTGAAATGTAGAACACTGCAGGTACTCCACAGAGTAGTAGAATTACAGGGCACCCATTGTTCCATTACACCCAAAAATTATCTTTACTGCTAGTTGTCAGAGAAAATAAAGCTCTGGCATTAACTATCTGAAATGACAGGTTTCAGAGTAACAGCCGTGTTAGTCTGTATTCACAAAAAGAAAAGGAGTACTTGTGGCACCTTAGAGACTAACCAATTTATTTGAGCATAAGCTTTCATGCTGTAGCTCACGAAAGCTTATGCTCAAATAAATTGGTTAGTCTCTAAGGTGCCACAAGTATTCCTTTTCTTTTTGTCTGAAATGAGATTCTCTTTCATATGGTGGGATGTTAAAGAATCCCTGTGGCATTCTCTTTCGAGGTTTTCTGATTTTTTTTCTCACAGTGGACTAGATTGCAACATTACATTCTGCTCGGAGTAAGCTGCATTGCATCAGGAGCTGATCAGAATTGATCCAGTAGGTCTATACCAATAGCAGACTATTTCCCCCTCCAACTCAGCTTGGCTGTGCTGGCTGGCACCCTGGGATGGGAGATGGTGAAGCAAAGGCCCAGTCTGTACCCCTGCAAGGGAGGGAGTAACAGCCCCGGTGGGTATGTCCACTTTGAAATGTAAGCCCAGGGTTAGTGGGACTTGAGTCAGCTGACCCGTGTTAGGGAACCCTGGGTTTGAGCATCTACATTGTATTTTAACCCTACATTAAGACTTTTCTAACACGTGCTCGAACCTAGAGTTCTGACATCCACACTGCAGTGTGCAGATCCAAGTCAAAGTAATCATATCCCAGAATCCCAAAAGCCTCCTTCCCCACAAAATGTGGCCACTCAAGCCCTAGGACTGTGGTACAATGTGGGAAAATTTTCCTGTCAGCCCTGCATGCTGTAGGAAGTCTGAACAGCCTGCCAAACACAGCCTGCCAAGCCGTCATTTTGGTCTGGGCACTCCCAGCTCTCCGAGCCAGCAACCTGGACGAGGTGCCTTTTGATGAACTTCTTTTTCTTGCGCTTTCACTCCTGTGTCAGAAAACTGGCACAGCATCTGAGGCGCTTGTGGACATATTAGCGATGTTTTCTGTCCCCCCCAAAGGTACCTGATGGATTTCCCAATGGAGCTGCAAGGAGAGGAGGCAGCAGAGGAGGAGGAGTACCCTGGAATACCATTTCAGAGTTGCACTGGCACTGGCCAATATAACTGCATAGCTGCTGATGCCCCCGACATAGCACCACTTCTGCAGCAACGCCACAAGCACAGACCGGTGGGATCACATCGTCATGCAGACCTGAGATGACCAGGAGTAGGTCCAGAACTTTCACATGAAGAAAGCTACATTTCTGGAGCGTTGTGAGCAGCTTGTCCCCAACATAAAGAGACACATCTGAGGTCATCCTTGCCAGTCCAGAAGTAGGTTGCTATAATGGTCTGGAAGCTGGCTACCCTTGGCTGCTACAAGTTTGTTGCCAGCCAGTTTGGGGTTGGAAAGTTGACTGTGGGTAAAGTGGTAGTTAACTGAGGCAATCAGGAGTGTGGGTTACCCCAAAGTGGCAGGCATTAAAGATATTCTGGAGGTAATTACTGGCTTTGAGAGAATGGGGTTTCCTAACTGTGCCAGGAGCCACCAATGGGAGTCATATGCCCATAGTTTGCCCTCCGCAAGGAGCACGAGTACACAAACCACAAAGGGTACTACTCCATGGTTATGCAAGTCCTTGTGGACCACAGAGGCAGATTTATGAATGTTTACAAGGGCTATACTTGAAAAGTTCACAATGCTAGAGTTTTTTGCTGCTCAGGAGTCTACATTCATAGATAGGCTGGGACACTATTCCCACCAAATGACATTTACTTAAACTGCGTTACTGTCCCCACTGTTATTGTGGGGGAGCCCATGCATCCCTTTTGCTTTGACTTACAAAACCGCACCCTAATTTCAGAGGCCCTGGCAAAAGAAAGATTAATTACATTCTCAGCAGGTGTAGAATGGTGGCTAAATGTGCTTTTGGCAGATTAAAATCCCATTGGAGGTGTCTGT